TTCCTGGTTTGATCAATTGGTGTTTAAGTGATAAATTGTCTTGTCACTGATGTTCCACTTATAATTTTATCAATTATACAGTTGAGTTTAGTCTAGTCTAATACTATGTGGGTGCGGCACATATGTCCTTATTGGCTACAGTAGAACAGATAATCACTTAGTTCCCAACTATCTTCCCAGAAAGATGTTGCTGCCATGCTCTGATGTTAATGGTTCACATTACTCATTCAGCACTTTTGGACCACTATATTAGGCAATTATTAAGCTTCTTGCCATTTTTTTTAAGTTTCTTGCTTCATAAATGATGCAGCTAGCTAAAACCAGCTGTCAGAAGACGTGTTCTGATAATTCAGAATTATCACCCGGAAAAATAAGGACTGAATCAAGATCTTTGCCCGTTGTATTTTCATACTGAAAATGTGAACGATAAGCTTCAAAAATTTTATTTTTTCCAATTTTATCAAGATATTATTGGTAAACATGATTTTGTTCACTCAAATTGTATTTTTCTCAGTTTTTGCTATTTTGGATGATTGCAAGGTCATCTCCCTAATGCCTATCAGTTTTACTAGTAGAGGAGAAAATTACTTTTGTAGTCCACAATCCTTTTCTTAACATTGTTCAGATTAGAAGTTGCATAGCCTTGACATTCTGGGGTCGAATATTCTCTGGTGCAATCAAAGATTCTAAGAAATTCTTCCAAGTTCAGATCAGACCATTGTGTTCACAAACTGCAACAAACTTGGAGTTAAATTGAAATTCTATTTTCTTACTTAATCAGAATGGTATAAAGGAATATCCCTTAAATCAAGACAATGATCCTAACATAGAGCAGCAAACCAAGAATCAAGTCTAGAATCAAAACCAAGAATCAAGCAGGCAATAATCATGAAATCATAGGCATAATCTCAGGAAGTTTACTAGAATAGCTGGTATGAAATCATATATTTAAACGTATATGTTTTCATGTATTCTGCGTGATTGAAATACGCAGTAACATTCAGAAAAGAAAAATCTCTGCACATTCAAACTTTATCATGGTATCAGAGCGATCCTCTAACGAGACTTCGATCCTCAATCCCACCCACAACCCATTCTCCCCAACAGATTCTCCGTTGATAGCCTTGAACATTTCGACACAAATCAACGAAAAACTCACTCCCTCTACTTTTCCCCAATAGCGTGCCCAATTCGAGGCTCTCCTCATAGGGTATAATCTCCTAGATTATGTTACTAGCGATCACCCCTGCCCCAACCAAACTGGCACCCCCACATCTTCTCTCAACAGAACCCACTGGGTGAGGCAAGATAAACTCATCCTCAGTGCTATTCTGGCGTCCACCGCAACCACCGTCACTCCGCTCATCTCTGTTGCTAAAACCTCCCAAGAAGCATGGCAAAAACTCAACACTCTCTATGCGAGCAAATCCCGAACTCGGGCTATGCAGATTAAAGAGGAACTCTGTCTGATGAAAAAGAGAAATCAAACCATTCAAGAATACCTGCACATCGTGAACTCCCTTACAGATGAAATTACCTTAATTGATCATCCTATTTCTAATGATGATCTCACTTTATACATCCTGAATGGTTTGGGTGCTGATTATCGAGACATCGCCGCACCAATTAGGGCTCGAGAAAAATCTCTGAGCTTTGAGGAACTCCACGATTTACTCGTGGGTCATGAGGCTTACCTGCGCCATCTTGAAGCCTCCACCCAGCAGCTAATTGCCACAGCCAACTACACAAATTGGCATCCTCAATCGCCTTTCTCAACAAGAAACTCCGGCTCCTCCTCTCGGGGCTCTTTCAGGCAGCAAGTACATAGGGGTCGTTCAGCCCATTCATTTTCACACTCCGGCCCACGTGACACCAACACTCATAACAACTTGGGCCGGTCCACGGGTCAAAGACGTTTTCAGCCCAAATGTCAGTTTTGTGATCAATTGGGCCACATTGCCAAACAGTGTCCGAAATTGTCACCTTCTAACGCCACAGCAAATTGCGTCTCCACTTCTCAACAACATGATACCAAATGGCTTATCGACTTTGCTGCTTTTCATAATATTACTGGAGACTTGGGAAAACTATCAATTCATTCGGAATATGATGGCACCAATGAAGTTGTCATAGGTAACGGTACAGGTTTGCGTGTCTCACATATTGGTTCATTGGTTTTTCAATCACCCACATGCACCTTCCACTTAAAAGACACACTTTGTGTTCCAAGTATTCGCAAGAACTTAATCTCCGTTCACCATTTTACAACTCAAAACAAAGTTTTTCTTGAATTTCACCCCAATTATTTTCTTGACAAGGATTAGATCACGGGGGCGACTCTACTCAAAGGTGCATGTGAAAAAGGTGTTTACACTCTCCCGGACTCACTGGTTGAATCTTCTTCAAAAATGGTTGCGAATGTGCATGAGAGGACATCGATTGATGGGTGGCACAAGAGGCTTGGACATCCATCCAAAAACGTTGTCCGTTCTCTTATTAAATCTTTTTCCCTTCCAATAACAAAATATCAAGAATCGTTTATTTGTACTTCCTGTTCCATTAATAAAGCGCACCAACAACCATTTCGTTCGAATAGTCTTACAAGTCATGCACCCCTTGATCTTATTTACACAGATGTTTGGGGTCCCACGTCTTCAGTTGGCATTGATGGTGCACGCTATTACTTGATTTTAGTTGATCATTTCACCAAATACATATGGTTTTACCCTTTAACAAATAAATCTGGAGTTAGCACAATATTTCCTCAATTTAAAGATCTTGTGGAAACTCGTTTTCAATCAAAAATCAAAAGTGTTTGTTCCAATAATGGTGGGGAATTTGTGGCTCTCAAAACATATTTTTCCATCCATGGAATTAGCCACTACACCACCGCTCCACACACACCACAACAAAATGGGGTCTTCGAACGTCGCCATCCTCACATTGTTGAAACGGGCTTAACTCTTTTACATGATGCATCATTACCTTTATCATATTGGCCTTATGCTTTCCAAACGACTGTCTATCTCATTAATCGACAACTTACATCGTTGTTGAATAATAAATCATCCTTTCAAGTTTTATTCCAACAATCACCAAATTATCTTAAGTTACGCAAATTTGGGTCCCTTTGCTTTCCCCTAACCTAGTCCTATAACTCCAACAAACTCCAGCCCAAGTCCGTTCCGTGTTTATTTGTAGGTTATTCTCAAACCCAAAATGCATATAAATGTCTTGATCTAACTACGAAACGGACCTATCTCTCCAGACATGTCGTCTTCGACGAAACACGAAGCCCCTTCCAGAACCCATCTTTACCCCCTCCGCCCACACAAGCCGTGCTACCCATCTCAGTGGATTCTCTGCTGCAGCCACCTCCAATGCAGTCCGATCATTCACCGCTTTCCTCTGCACCTTCAGGTAATTGCTCCAATCCCTCTTCTCCCAATTTAGTTGATTTTTCCAAATTTTCGACCTCAATCACTAGCCCAACAAGAGAATCACATAGACACACACATTCCATTACCCTCTCAAGAAATCACTATATCCACATAAAATAACCCACCCAATCATACCACTCGAACCCATTCCATGACCACTCGGTCTATGAATAACATCCACAAACCTAAACAGCTCGACTCTGTTACCAAGCATCCAATTCAACCCACCATTGAACCAACTTGTGTGAGTCATGCAATTCGGGACCCAAAATGGAGAAATGCCATGTCTGAGGAACTCACTGCATTAATGCGGCATAATACATGGGAACTAGTTCCACCTCCTAAAAACTGCAATCCAGTGGGCTATAAATGGGTTTTCTGGGTTAAACAAAAATCTGATGGAACTGTAGATCGCTTTAAAGCGAGACTAGTTGCAAAAGGATACAATCAACGCCCTGGGTTGGACTACAAAGAGACATTCAGTCCAGTAGTGAAACCGGCTACTATAAGAACCGTTCTAACCATTGCTGTGATTAAAGGGTGGATTTTAAGGCAACTTGATGTCAATAATGCATTCCTGCATGGTAAGTTGATCGAAAATGTTTACATGGTTCAACCCCCAGGGTTCAAAGACGTGACAAAACCGAACCATGTTTGTCGACTACAAAAGGCCATCTATGGCCTAAAACAAGCACCACGAGCCTGGTATTCGGCTCTAAAGACCACCATCTTGGAGCTCGGGTTTATCAACTCAAAAGCTGATTCGTCTTTATTTAATAAATCCAGCTCTGTTATATACTTCTTGTTGGTGTATGTAGATGATTTAGTCATCACTGGAAACAATGATCAATTTCTTGGGACAATATTGAAACACGTGGACATTCCTTCTCATTAAAAGACATGGGACAGCTTCACTATTTTTTGGGCATAGAAGTCATCCCTACACAAGATGGTCTTTTTCTATGTCAGCATAAATACATCATAGAGACTTTATCGAAGAGCAACATGCTTGGTGCCCAAGATGTCTCCACGCCATTGTCCACTACTACAGTCCTCAAACTCTTTGATGGAACATCATCTGTGGACAGTACTCAATTCAGAAGCGTTATAGGTGCTCTTCAGTACCTCTCTCTAACATGGCCGGACATCTCCTTTGCAGTAAATAAACTATCTCAATTCATGCATAAACCCACTGCAACACATTGGACAGCTGCGAAGAGGCTCCTTCGTTATTTAAAACACAGTGTCTTTCATGGTATTCACATACGACAAAACAGCCCCTTAACACTTACAACTTACACTGATGCAGATTGGGCAGGCAACTTTGATGATAGATCCTCAACTTCAGCCTACATATGTTTTCTTGGTGTAAATCCTATCTCATGGAGCTCAAAAAAATAGAGGGCTATTGCTAGATCTTCCACCGAGGCTGAATATAGAGCACTTACAAATGCGGCATCTGAAACACTTTAGCTTCTGACATTATTTCAAGAGCTTGGCTTACCTATTTTATCAAAACCAAGACTGCTTTGCGACAATCTGGGGGCCACACAACTGAGTTTTAATCCTGTCCAGCACTCTCGCATGAAGCACATTCAAATAGACTTACATTTTGTGCGTGATATGGTTCAAAAAGGCACATTTGAAGTTCATCATGTTAATACACATGACCAATTGGCAGATCTTTTAACAAAATCATTGTCAAGGCAACGCACATAACTACTCAGGAACAAGATTGGTCTAGCTGATGGCAGCCCTATCTTGCGGGGGCGTATAAAGGAATATCCCTTAAATCAAGACAATGATCCTAACATAGAGCAGCAAACCAAGAATCAAGCCTAGAATCAAAACCAAGAATCAAGCAGGCAATAATCATGCAGTCAGTTGCACAATTTTCTGTAAATTAATAGGCATAATCTCAGGAAGTTTACTAGAATAGCTGGTATGAAATCATGTATTTAAACGTATATGTTTTCATGTATTCTGCGTGATTGAAATACACAGTAACATTCAGAAAAGAAAAATCTCTGCACATTCAAACTTTATCAAATGGCTCTTGCATATTTTACTTTCATGATTTTTTGTTAAAATTTCCTTCCAGTTATTGATGAGTAACACATGAAATTAATAGGAAATGGATTGATTATTTGGAATTTTAAGGCTTGAATATGTATTTCCCAGAAAAGTTGTTTTCTCTTCATTTTACTTAACTAGGCTATATATCACATAATGGAAAATAATTCCTGTTGAATGCTCTAATTTCTCTTGTTTTCCTCTTCATTTATGTTAATTTCATGGACTCATTCTCTGGCACATTTTATATTTGTCGGTACTTTCTCTGATGCAATGATGCTTAGCTTATTCTAGTAGTGTGTGATGTACGAGGTTACCAATAACTTCATCTCCTTGAACATTTTAATCGAAATGTTTTAAAACTTCAGAATCATTATTTTTTCTTGGTTCCCTGATCTATTTACGCCTTCTTGGTAACACGTGTTTGTTTTTTTCTTTTTGTATTATTTTTAGGTTCAAATTAGTTGTCCAAGCCTCTCATAGTACCTT